AGTAGCTTAGAGATGGCAGCTCTTACTAGCAGACATTCAATGTGCAGTGATATGCAAGTCCGCTTCCTGGAAGTGGGACCGATGCTGGATGCTGGATGCTGCAAACCGTCAACAGGTAACCCTTGAACAGAGTACGAACAGATAACGACGCATGAATCTGCTCAAACCCGGAGGAAAGGAGGCGCTTCCTGCTCGTGTTCTCTTGTGGTATGCGGTGTGCTGATCTCAGGAAGAGATCATGCCGTGTGCACGGACTGCATGTGACAGCGAAGCTCGCCCCCGCACCGACATCCGGGTCGTGCGCAAGCCCACCAAGACGACCCAGACAACCTAGACAACCTACATCAACGTCAGCTCGCGAGCCGTACTTAAGCGATGTTGCAATTTGAGCTCAAGAAGGGCGCTAAAACACACGAGGCGCAGATGCGCGCTGGCCATACCAGGCTCCAGTGGGATAGGTTTTATGTACAACTGTATAGCCGCACTCGTTAGATGCACATGCTGACTTGAAGCAATAGAACATAACCAAGGCAGAGATCAATGATCTTGTGGAAGAAAATCCAGATGTTAGCTGGCCAACAGTCCCTGGCGATGTTCTAGCATCGATGTTTGACCGTGTCAATGCGCAACTGAGGGCTGAGAACATCCCTGAGGTGCAATACGACGTATTCAGCTGGCGGATGGCGCGTGCTATCTCATATCGAAACACCTGTACGTGATACGGCATCTCTGCACGTCTTAACACTGTCTAACAGGGGTGTCCACAGCCAATAGCAAACCTAGGGCAAAGAGCGCCACAGCATCGGCTACTGAATCTAGTTAGTCTAGGCTGGGATGCTGCTTCCGGAGGGATGCGGGCGCTACGCAGTCCAGCGTTGAAATGCTACGATATGTGTTCTGCAAGGTTTCAAGCTTGGATATTCAGTAACAAGCAATCCTGCCTAAAGCAGCTAGGTTTATGTAAATGAACGCGTATTGCATACCTCCCCTTCACGTAATTTGTGGATAGTGATGGGTAACGATCATCGGGTAATGCCGCGGAACGGGCATTGTGGGCCGGAAACGTATCACTAGACCGGCATCCTGCATTGATTGTCCCACCTCCTCACTTTAGCTACGTATCTGCGTTGCCACGTTATGGTTAGATGCAAAGACGGCCCTGTAACTTAGGACATAGAACAATGTAGGAACAAGTGCATTGATAGGGACATACAGAAAACTACGGTAAAGACAGGCTAGTTACAAAGGAAAACTCGGAAAACAAGAGGAAGATCATGCGGTACTTTCGACCCAATCCTCTGGTGGACCACAGCGTTCGATAGTGACTGTTCCATCCAACAAAGAATCATATGTGACGCCAAACTCGTAATCTTCCTCAAGCTGAGAGATCCTACACAAGTACGTGTTCCATGAGGCCACTTTGTTAAAGACAGAGATGAGCTTTCCATTGTATTCCTTCTCTTTTATGGTTATGCGGACTTCCTCGTTCAAAAACGTAGTGAGATTCCATGCCCACCAATGCTCTAGAGAGCTTGCTTTCTTCATATCCCCGTACTTGGAGGTGGCTTGTTTCTTGAAATGTGACAAACCCTCTCTACCGATAAGGGATGTTATACCGTCATCATTCAATAATTTTACGTTAACCTGGCTTGCAAATTGGAGTATGTTGATCTTCGTTGGGTGTGGGAAAGGCAAATGAGTAGACTGGTCATAAAAAATGTTATATTGCGCAGGTGTGAGCTCGACTGTTGCGTGATAACTGTCGACAGAAAGATTACCAGACCATAGAGCATCAAGATCGGCTTTTCTGATAGTCCAATTTGCATAGGCGTCTGAAGACGGGCCAAGTTCTGTAGGCGGAGGTGGAGGCGGAGGAGGCGGAGGAGGAGGCGGTGACGGCGGTGACGGCGGAGGGGCTGTGTGTGAAAGCTTCACACAGTGAGGGCAATGCGTGCAAGACCCAGTAGACTTCCAGGCATGGTTTGGATAGTCGAAAAATCTAGTAATACGGTTACTGAAAGCTCAACGGAGGCCTAGGTAAATTCAAGCGACTACTGACTTTGCCAGAATGGCAGCTGTTTGGACAGCGAGAAGAAAGCAGCACAACTCTGGCAACATGATGTATACGCAGCTCGTAGGCGAAAGCCAAATTATTGTAAGTGGGTGGGATCAAGATGAAGAGACAGGAGATATGGGAGAACATTGTTGATTTATAAAACAGGATCGGGCTCCGCAAGACAGACAGAGACACTGCATCCGTGCCACGCCTGTCAACTGACAGAGCAAGCTAATGCACCAATGCAGCCCCTTCGGCATTGTGAGTGGCAAAAATGAATGGATATCCCTGTAGGTGTGCGCCACGATACTCCGCCCCCAAAGATGGGTGAGCAAGACACTCCTCAGTGGCACACATATCCCCCCAGTCTATCGCCAGAAGGGCCGATCACTATGCTTGATGACAGGATCCAGCAAATCGAGAATGGAATAACTCAATGTGTTGAATATGGCGAGTTTGCTTACACGCAGTGGTCTGGATCACTGACATTGCCCTTGATCTTGCGTTGCCCCCACCATAGTCGCTCCACTGCTCGAACACGGTTTGATCCACCACCCCAGCGGAAGCGGCTAAAAGCGCATTTTGTGTTCAAGTTTGGAATCCATTTAGAAACAGCTGATTTAACAATGTCCGCTATTTTCGAGTAGCTATGTGCAAGTCTTGGATGAAGTAAACTCAATATCTTGATATCGTTAGTGATAGCAAAGGTTGAACCTGATTCTCTTACCATGAATGAACTTTGAGCGACTTTTCCTATCGTCTCGTTTTCGCAGATAATATTAGCAATTGCTACAGCAAGAGCTGCACATAGTAATAATGTGAAGACGTAGTAGTATCGGCCAAGCCAAGTTGCTGAATCCTTAGGCAACCCTATAAAGTATACGTATGTTGAAAAAGAAATAGATAACAAAAGAAGAATGACAAAGGGGCTCTGATTCTTTGCGGCCACAGCTATGCCACCGAGACATAGGGATACGCACGCAAGCCGAGCGATCCACCAATAGCCAGAGACTGGTGGTGGGTCATTGCTGTTACCAACAAGTTGAGCTTGACTGATTGTCTTGTTGCCGAGCTAAGCGTGTATAATGGCCTAGATGCATTGGGTTAAGGTTGTATCACAGTTGTGGGGTTGTGTCTTACCTAGTCATGGTAGAGGAGGGTACCCAAAGTGAAAACATGCGCTTGCAGCGCGTCGTGCAGTGT